ACACATGCACTCGAAAGGCCAAAATTGCGATTAAATTTGAGGCTGTGGTTGGTCAGTCATTCAATTACAGTGCTATGAAGTGAGACTCTTGGTATTTTGTTGACTCGTAGTGGTTGTGGTCATTAGCTTCGCGCACTTGTGAACATTACGAAGAGTGGTGGTGAGCGTTTGTGCTATTGTTGCGTGACCTAAACCAATGATTATACAGAGGAAACTGAAATAAACAAATCTTAACTACACAAAGCCCCACGTAAAATCTTCGAAATTTGAGGGAATGATTTTCGAGGCAAGGTTCAATACTTTTTTCGTCTGTTCATTTGGCTTCATGTTGACGATATATTGCATCATGGTGCGCCAATTCAGTTATGATAACTGTGTTCACGCGATTGCTACGCGCTTGAAGCGGGCAGCAATTGGGCGAACACACATGTCGCCCACTCAAGCTAAACAAAGAAAAAAGAAAATTAAAGAAAATAAAAGAAATCATTATGGCGCTGGAAGTAATCCTGCGCTTGATTGGCTAATTGATTAGCATTATAAGCGTAAGCTACATAAATGCGCCGATTGTAATCTGACAGCGAGACCTTTCGAGAAATTGAGCTTGATCTTTTCCATAGAGTTGGTTTCAATAGCAAATAATTATTCTAGCGACACAAAAATGTCATCACTGGAGTTCCCGAGGTAAGCACTTTCGCTCATTTTATTTTTACTTGAATTGACACTATCAACTACCGGCAAAACGATCGCGGTATTTTGTAAAAACGCCACAGGCATTAACATTGGTGCATAGAGAATGATGAGTGTCCTAACAAACAATGAAAACATAACCTCGTGCGCGCATTTTAAAACAAGCGTTGGAAATCGATGACAAGAATTTGTGTTGAACTACAGAGGATGAGAGTCCAGAAAGAACTGTTGCCGACTCAAAGCCTGATGTGTCGGGGAAAAAAACGGCATCGGTATGATTCCGTGCCACGATTCCTTTGATGCGTCTCACTGATTCATTGGTGATCATTAATTTAGAGTAGCTGTCCTTTGTCTTTATTCTAGATCATTGTTGTGACTGACTCCTTCAGAAGGCGAGAGTCGCTTCAAATAATTACGAAAAACTCTCTTCGTTGAAAGCGCTTAGAACTGAGATTTGCTCTCGTAAAGCAAAATACAACCTGCATAACAGTTGACCTGGCTCTTTCGCGTTTTTCCCTTAACTTTTACCATGGACCGGTTAGAAAATAAACACTGGCATTGCTCAAATGAGCGTTTTAAAATCAGCAAACTTGCCGGGTTTGTGACCCGTCTGATCAACACTCAGAAAGTTTTTTGCAATGGGCACAAACTCGTCCTTCAGTTTGGAAACGCCTATCAAATTTGTCGACCGAGCTAGTATTGAACATACCATTTTCAAGATATGGGTAGTTTCGCACTCGGTACGGTGCTTCGAAAGCATTTTCACCAATTCGTCCTTATCAAATGTTGTAAAGCCCTTGAAAGGATCTCTTCATTCAAGACGGCATCAGAAACTAACTTGTTATGGGAAGTGTTTACGCACCAGAGCAATGAGCTACCCGTAAAAACTGGATTTTTGGCCTCTACCCCATTCGTTTCTTTTTTCAGGGCAGGGCCTGAACGCTTCTTCTTTCAACTAGTTTTGCTTAATGTACTGCCCCTCAAACTTCTTCTGCGCCAGTATCGTTGTTAAATAGGAGCATATTAATGTTTACATTGGAGTTGCGCGTTGTGCTTACTTGCAGTAATTTAAGTATCGATGGATGTGTGACGTGGGTTACCCTGTGATTATTAACGCTTGGGAGGGGGGGTGGGTAGAAGATTTTGCACGAATCACGTGTTTTTCAGGGGCAAGGGAGGTGGGATCAGTCGTTGCTAACAGAGTATAATGGGACGAGGGGGAGACTGAAGAAAATTGATAAAGAAAAAAAAAAAAAAAGAAAGAAATCCTGCGGAATGTGTCCTCGTAACTAACGTTTCCTTTGTTTGTTTATTGAGTCACTCATGTTATGGATGATAAGTTACCAGAATTTGAGAAAACAAAGTATCTTGACAAATTTAAACAAATGACAAATGAAGAAGTAGAAATAAACAAAAAATTATAAGTAAACAAATTCTGATTTACGGAGCATTCACGTAGGGTTGAACAAGACAATAATAATAAATATAATAATAACACCTTTATTTAGACACGATAATGTTTTAAGCTGAACAGCTTGTGGGGTCGTGTGTAAATCCAAATTAACTCTAAATTAAATAAATTCAAATGATGATGGTTTTTGAGGAGAGGGGAAAACCGAAGTACCCGGAGAAAAACCTCTCGGAGCAGAGTAGAGAACCAACAAACTCAATCCACTTATGACGCAGGGTCCGGGAATCGAACCCGGGACACATTGGTGGAAGGCGAGCGCTCTCACCACTACGCCAACACTGATTAATATCAAATCAGCATGGGTGAAAGGGAGAACTATAACTGAATCAGGATTAGAATAGCTTAGGGGTTGTACCAAACGCATCTACGGAGTAGTTTTTGACCGCAACGTGAACATTGTGAACGTGGCAGTAGTGAAGGTTTAGTGAATGCTGTGACTTTTAACTGAAAAAGTAGAGTGTATAGTTCGGCTTTTATTCGTATTATTTCGCTTTTAAGAAAGATTTAAGAAAGTTAGGATGTGTTCGTTTCCGCGAATCTAACAGCCGCCCGTCAGTTTATTTAGAGTGTTCATAGTAAAACAAAGTGAAAATATGTTAGGATCGGTAAGATATTTATAGGCAAACTTTTATGAATACGAGCTGTTGTTTTCGTGCGTTTGCTTAAGAGTCACGGCTGGCCCCCACTTCAATGTTATGGTTCTTAATACCGTGGCATAATATCACGTATCTCGTATTGTAGCGATCGATAGGAAGGTTTGGATTGTTCGATTGAGTTGAGGTCAAGTTTCCATAAAATAACATAAATTACAAACCAATATGCGTCTTCACGGAAAATACAAAGCAAAACAAAAATAGAAAACGCGAGGTTATCGAAACTTTTTAAAAATTTTTCTACGGTACTCTTGCTTGCTAAAACATATTAGTATAACTTCTGAAACAATCCGATCTGAATAAGAGTGAAATTTCTAAGTTCTGCCGCTCACGACAACCTTGCACTTTCGTGCTTGACTGTCACGGGATGTCTATCGCATTCTTGTTTACCTTTGTTATTATTCTTTTTCCCCCATTTCAAAGGGTTAGTGTCTTTTCGCTCTAGCAACTTTGGCCTACCTATTGGACAAAACTTGAGGCATTTTAAACTTTGATTGATGTCTGAGTGTTTACCTTTTCATCATGTAAATTTTGGAATTAAAATAATTTGCATATGAAAAACTTCCGGTCAATCACGTGTAACGCATCATTCTTCATTGACACAGCAAAACGCCTGAAGAGGGAAAAGAAATGCCGACGACTTTTGGAAGTTCAGACAACGGCTGCGGCCGGTGTTGCCAGAAATTTTGTGGGGTGATCAGGAGAAATCTACTCGTGGTTTTGCTGGGTATGGGAGCAGCAGTTGGCTTTTTAATCGGGGCGGTTATCAACCCGACCGTGCAGGATATCGAGAATCCGGAGACGAAAGCTACAACAACCATGCTGATCGGCTTCCCCGGCGAACTGCTCATGAATATGCTGCAAGTTATTATCCTTCCACTCATCGTGGCCAGTCTGATCACTGCTGTGTCACATCTTGATGCAAGAGCGACCGGGAAGATCGGGCGTCGTGCGTTGCTATTTTATCTTACCACAACTTTGTCCGCCGCCATCTTGGGCATGGTCCTCGTTTCCTCGATTAGGCCAGGGAAGACTGACAGTCCAACTGGTAGTAAATCAAACCCGAATCCCTACACGACCAGAGACTCCTTTTTGGATTTAATCAGGTGCGTTAAATCATTTTAAAAATTCCTTTGAGATATAGGAGTAAAGAAACTCATTGATTTAATATTAATTTATGATAACAATATACAATCGAACGCTCCCTAATTTTTCCCGCCCAAAGCCACGAGTTGACTCGGGAAACATTGAACTCTTTCGGTCATTTTAGGCGAGAATATCGTAAACATTTCGGTGGACCTTTCATGAAATAAACCGCGAAATTCGACTTTCTTGGTTGCAAGTACATGCAAGTAAAATTGGACATTGTTTCACTCGTACGCGACGCGTCTCGCAAAACTCATTGATTATATTTGTCCTGAAATGGAGGTATGTTTCAGGCTTAAGACTCAGCTACGAAAGTCACTGCTTTCTAAAGGCATTTGGATTGGGAAAATGATCAGGAATTATCGCTCGAGATCGATTTCTTTTCTCAACACGAACATTGTGATTACAAACGAATCTATTCATAAACAAAACTAACCTCGAAAGGAAATGGTTATGTCATGCATGCAAATGAAACGTGACATTTTTACTTTTAACTACTACTCATCGCAGTATTCGAGTTTTATATAAGTCAGTACACTTGGGTGAAATGTGTATTCGTAATCTTACAGATTGTGAACTGTTTAAAACCATTTCTAGAGCTTAACAGAAATAATTCTTGATGAAAACTATTACTACAAAGAAGGCAGCGGGGGTCATCAGGCGATATAGTTGACAAAGTTTCTTTGTAGCATTCTAAAGACAAAAACATCAAGCATCTGCGATGCCTTTTCGGATTTCATTGCCAAGTCCTCTCAGATCGTTCACGAACTACAATCAGAAGCAGTTTTTCTCTGGTACAATTTTAATGTAAAAATGATGTTAAAACCAAGTCTCCAGTTAACCAAACATGGTTCTTGACTTCTTGTTTTGAGGGTTTTCTCTGAGCTCTTTGGTTTGCCTTCCCTAACTACATATCTACAGATTGTCAGTTGAAACTCACTCAGAGACAACAGTCTGATAAAGTCTTATTATGGAGGGTATTTTTTTTTTTATGAAAACTGGAAATTGTTAGCAGTCAACAATTTCATAAATACCAGTATTCTCATTTCAAAGCAAAGATGGTGTAGCATTTTACTCAGATAAAAGCAATGAAAAATGCCTTAACGTGCTTGGTTTCATTGACATGCATGTTTTAAAAACTCATTGCAAGCAAGTTGGATTTCTTGTGCTTGCTATACAAAACCATAAACTGCTGCTTATAAGCTCTCCCCACCCCCCTTATAAGCCCCCTCCCGCTTATAAACCCCCCCTTCTCTTGGGTTATAAGCCCTTCTACCTGTAAACAAAGAAATAAATCCAATTATAAGCACCACCCCTCACCCACCCCTTCCAAGATAAGCTTTTCTTATTTTGAGGGTTGGGAGCTTTACAGTGTATTATTCAAATTTTGATAATAGGACTTCAAGAGAGAGGTCTGAACTTCTGTTTTTTGTTATGTTCCAGCTTTGATTGTGTTGTTGGTTTAGATTCTGTACTATATATGTTGATTGAAAACCAGGAAATACAAAACCTATTTTGATCAGTAATTCTATAGATTATTTCAAAGCATTTTATTGTTTCAATTCATTGTCGGCTCCTTCAGAAAGATATCCCCCCGTGTATAAACCCTCCAAAAATCCCTTAAGAAATTGTATAAGTCCAGGGCCTATAAGCTGCAGTTTAGGGTCATACTTGTATTGATAGACTGTGAGCTATTTTTGCATTTCATTATTATCAAATGTTTCCAGGAGCTGTTTTCCCAGTAACCTTGTTGAGGCGACATTTCGTCAGGTTGGTTTAATGTATAGTAGATCAATCAAACAGGGTTAACACTTACTGAGAAGGTGCATGATCTGGAAATCTTCTTTCATCCTAGAGAACATCTTTTGTTAGGTTTACCATTTTACCAAATGGGATTTCATCTGGGAATTCAATACTGTACAGCTTCTGCCACTATATTGCTGTAGCACTACTACATTGTCCCTTTTGTTAGTGGGTATCTTGCCTATTTTGAGATCAGAGAATATGGGACTTCAGGAATAACCATACTGTTCACCTTGGAAAGTCATTTGTTTGCAGTTGTATGAAGTTTCTCTTACAATTACATTTTAACTCAAACATGAACAAAAGATTGATACTCAAACTCAAACCAATTCCTACAAAGCCAGTTATGCTTCTGGACCCACTGTTACATGATTAACTATACACAATGCACAGCCGAGGATTTTTTTAAGTTTAAAAACTTGAGACTACCAAGCCAAGAGTAAATATTTATAATGAATTGGAAGATTGGAGCATTTGACCTCAAGGGTCCTCAAGATTTAGAACTCAGCTCCTAAAACTATTCATCCATGCTTCCTCTTGGACAAATCATGATTGGCTGACGTATGCTTGTTGCAGTCAACTCTAACTTCAAACAAAAGGCTGATAAGAACCTTGTCCATCACAGACACGCAACCAAAATTAATAGTTAGTAGAGCACATGCACTTCGCAACTCTTTCAAAACTACATACTGCTCTGCTTTACAAGCACTTTTCAGTGTAAATTGACCTTGTAACAAGCAGTTTCCAGTGACATACAACATTCTCCATTGTATGATGAACTCATTTGAGTGAATAATTTGAATATATCAACAAAGTTGAAATGGTAAATTGGCCACCATTACGATTATAAAAGCTGACGTTTCGAGTGTTGGCCCTTCATCAGAGCGAAAGACGAAGGGCTCCAACGAAGGGCTAATGCTTGAAACATCAGCTTTTACAATCGTAACAGTGGGCATTTTACCATTTCAACTTTGTTGATATATTCAAATTATTTCGTTACCCCCACCGACGCAGCCCCAAACAGTTTCTTTAGAAACTATCAGCCTTTATTCATTTGAATAAACTGGTGGGTGCATGAGTAACACCTGCACTTGGGAGGTTTCTCATAAACAAATTTGAAAAGCAGCTCTGCCATTGAACAAAAGAGCGATCATCACTTCCTAAGTGGTCTTATAGGGGCATGTGTTGCCAAGCAGGGTATGACTTTGGGGGGTCTTAAATGCTAAACAGTATTGTGTACAATTTAATTATTAAATCTCTTTAACAAGGCATTTTTCTGGACTGAATATCTTAAATCCAAGCATGAGCATTGGCAACTTGCATTCAAATTATAAGTACTGGTAATCTACCAGAATATGCTACTTGTGACTGAAGAAGGTTGCAAGGCCAAAATCAACAACAATATTTGAATTATGCAGGGAGGTGGGGGAAAAAGTATTTTGCTCTTTAACGGGGACAGGCTTTTCAGGCCCCAATAGCACACTCTACCCAAACTTGGGGTGCCCCATTGCATACAGTATAAACAAAACAATGGTTATTGGAGGTTTGAGCCCTTTTTGAGCTTTGTCTTTACATGTGAAAAGCCACATGCAGTCAATTGATGTCCAATGTGTTTTCCAACTGTTGGCATTTTTATGTTCTATCTGATGTTTTTTTTAAAGCAGACCTGTAAGTCACAATAAGTACATGAACTTGGACACTCACACAAAGCTATTGTTGCTAATTATGTTCTTTATTTTTATTATTTCCTCAGAAAAAGACTTACTACAGAACAGATCCTGGCAAGTATGAATTCCGCAATGTGACTGGTACCTCCCCAAAACTCGAAGAGAATGAGAAAATCTTTGAGGTCATTATGGTGAATGCAACACTGAACATAACCACTATATCCAAAGAGATATACCCATCTTCCAAAACAATATTTGCTGGAGTTAAAACTAACCCCACCGGCGGCATGAACATTCTTGGTTTGGCTGTGTTCTCCATTGTGTTTGGTGTTGTACTGGGGAAGATGGGTATAAGAGCCAAACCTTTGACTGCTTTCTTTTCCTCTCTCAATGATGCTGTCATGATCTTGGTGACGCTTATCATGTGGTATGTTGAAATTGAATTTTTGTTTTCTCATTTTGAGTTTAAACACAGGTAGATGATTGATCTTAGAAAGTTGTAAGTTTGTATGTCAAAATATTGTCTGTCTTGACTTTCCGTGATGCCTTTTTTCGTGTAAATTGTTAATCACTGATAACATAATTTCTCATGCAATTTGGTTTAAATAAGCTTACTTGTAGTCAAAGACTAGAAATTGTACTCCTCCTACAGGCTCAGGCAATTTTGTTGTCTTTGAAAAATGAACTCATGCTTATTAAAAACCAAATTGTGCACAAACGCTTGCTAGTTTTAAATCCAGCTGCAGGGGTTTCCTTTTTGATAATAACTGAATTAATTAATCACATGGCATTCATGGAAAGCAGGCACTTTGTTCTTGTTTTTATTTTGTTGTTATTAGATTTAATCAGTAGTAGATTAGTATCTTGACAATGTAATTAATGCGATTCTAGTATTTACTTTAAAGTCCTGATGTTTTACTTTGTATAAATAAAGTTAAATAAATAAATAATAAATAAATAAAATCATATTACCATCTAAACTAACACCAGTATTCCTTTTGCTTGATTTACATGTTGTTCATCTGGGTCACGTACACTGTACTTTTTAATTTTTATAAACTTCTGTACTCAGGTGCTCCACACGACATAATCAACATTGTATTGAAAATATTTCTCTTCCTTTGTTTTCTTTCACTCTCTATCTTCTATAATGTTTTTAATCACAATTGTTAATTTACATGATTTCCTTTTTTTTTTCTCATTCATCATTCTTATAATGAAATACAGAGGAATTTTTTATTATTATTTTTTTACATCATCTATTTGTAAGAGTTTAAAAACGAAATTTAATTGGATTGAATATGCATATGGCAGACATTTGCTAATCGGCAAGATAGTTTCACACGCATGTTGCACAATTCCACACTGGTGGTTAGTTATTTGACCATAATCACGTTGTAACGGAACCGTTTGGAATGTTGCAATGGAAGATCTGGGCTCGAGACTAAGTTAACCATTAACGTGAAAATTTTATTCAATTTCCACGCCAAAAATTCACGCGAACGGCGCTTTATAATTCACATTTGAGTGTTAAATGATAAGCTGAAGGTGGCAACCTCCTCAAGCAAGATGGTGCGTTTGCGCATTGCCACATTCGGCAACCATCAGAACCAAGGGGAACATCTTCGGCAATTTTCGAACGCCGTCGTGACGTCTTCGTAAATTTTCGGAGGTGGTCCTCTCTCTTTTTTTTTTGGGGGGGGGGGATATTTGGGATATATGGATATGAAAATCTCACTCATTTGACAGATTAATGTCAGTAATAAGAGCAACTGTGCACT